TATTTCAACACATGTGAGGTTAAGGTTTGAAAAAAAACTTTTTGCAAAAGAGATATATTTTTCTATATATAAGAATATTCTTGGAAAAGGGGTTTGTCACATTTTAATTGTTGATGAACACTCCTTTCCCACAACACATGGCAGACAACCATTCATCTCCAAAATCACACAAACTCATGTTTCCACTCATCCCATCCCAACTAGTTGTTCTAACCAAACTATAACTTGTACGAGACCGCAGACGCGGCCATCCAAATAGATTTTACACTCTGTAGAGGTTGTACACTTTTTTTTACCAAAGTATAACATAACTTAACACGGTCGTGTGATAGAAACACTTATTAAAACCATAGTGCACATTTTGATAGTATCTTGCATAGGTTTTGATAAGTAGGAATTAGAGTTCAAGTTAGAGTTTTTAAGTTGCCTAATTCATCCCCCCTTAAGCATTAGGTCCCTTCATGGATGTTGTTACATATGAAGCACGCGATCCCCAGAAGTGGATGGCAAGCCCTTGGTGTCAAAGTGCTGGTGAAGGTGGAGTTGGTGATGTTGAAGGCGATGGGAAGCCCCTCGAGCCAAAATGTTGGCATAGGTGATTTTGCTTTTTCCCGTGTTCATAAAACACCATGGAGATGCAATTGCAGTGATAGCCAATCGAGTGAAGTATAAATTGGATCTCCTTGATGTGGTTTAATGCCACCTTTTTCAAGCCAATGTGCACTTTCAGATTATAAAGATGCTTTCGGCATTAATTTCCCTGTGAAATTAGAAAGCTTTTGAACTGAAGATGTAAAGCATAGTCTCAACATGCTAGTGGTATGGTGGTATCATACCGATTGGGTATGGTGGCAGCCCGATATCAGCCTAGATGGGGCACCACTAAAGATGGTGATCTTGTGGGTACGGATGTACCACTCTGAAGAATTATAACCTATACATAAAGACGTGTCCATGGTCATAGATGATTTCATGTGTTTTGTTTTACAATAACTAGTGAGAGGAGTGTGCATTTCTCCCCAGGATGGTTAAGGTTTTTTTCACGATTGTCCTAAGCACGTTTTTCATTAAGAGGAAGATAGTTACATGACATAGCTATGAGAGAACCCTCGCAACACAGATTACAAGCTGCCAAGCCTGTGGTAAGAGATCAGGAGCAAACCAAAACAAATAGAAAAGGGAAAAGAAAGAGCGACGATGGGGGAAGAACCCACAACCTGAAAACCCTACAAGCCTAAGCCTTTTAGAGGAAGATATGTCAATCCAAAGGTTGCCTACAGAAGTGACATAGCCGTGGTGGCAAAGCATCCACCCAAAGAAGACGAGATGAACAAACAACAACAATGGTGGTAAAGCATCCGCCCTAGAAGACTAAAGTGACCTTGGCAGCATAGCATCCACAAGGTGAGAGGCCAAAGCACACTGGCAACAAAGTATCTGCCAGAGGGGATCGGACCAAAATGACATCGATGACAAAGTATCCGCTAGAGAAACCAACAATGGTCAAGCATCCGCCAGGGAAGAAGGCGACAAAGCATCCGCCACAAGAGCCAACCGACGGTGGCTAAGCCAAGCACTCTAGTAGGATAGACCACTACAAAGGATATGAAGCACACACAAGCATGCCAAGGAGCAGATCCATCAAGAGGAACAATAGATCAAGTGGAGGCATGACAGCAGATGCACAACAATGACGCCTTCAAGAAGGAGTGTGACATCCATGGACGCCACCATCATTGGTCCAAGCAGCAAGCAGGAAGGGCTTACGACCCAACACAGACGCCAGCAAGCGAATAGGAGAACGGAATCTTCGATGATGCCTCCAAGGAGGTTAATGACATAGGTTACGACATCATCGTCGGCCCAGAGCTTAAGGTCGGGCAGCGCTTTTACCTAGATTCGAAGCACCAACATAGCCCACCACATCTGCATGCTACCGCCACAGCCACCATGACATCACGACCGCCAAGGATAGAAGTCAGCACCATGGATGAAGCCTGATGCGTGCTATGGGTTCCATGGCCTAGCGCAGTCCCCGCCGCCTTGGCCGGCACTGTAGCCACTGCCACGGCCACCTCCTGGGAACAACTAGCAGTGACGTGATGCCGGTAGAGGCCTATGCAACTCCACCAACACGTGGTGTAGCCAAGCCAATGGCATAGGCCACACAGACTAGGGAAAGGACCCTGCCACAAGGACGATGATCGCGGCGAGGTGGCCTCTGATAGGATGTCCCATCGTCCCAAACACCACCCTCAAGGCACAACCCACAGCATGATGGTCCACACGGGCGCCGCCACCGTGACCAATAGCAATTCACGCATCCAGAGTCATCACTGCTTCACACCGCCGATGGAGGCCGTCCTGGTGATGGATTTGGCAAAGGAGATGCGTAGCTAGTTCTAGGAGGCAAAGTTGTCCCCCAAAACTGTCGGGCCGCACGACCGTGCCCTTACAGGTCGACCACCGACGTGTCTCCGTAGCCGTGGTCGTCAGCACCAGGAGCCGACCGGGAGCACGAATCCACGCTGCGCAACCTTCACCCTCCATCGATCCGGTCTTCCCTCACTCAGATCTAGCAACCAAAAGCATGGATCTGGCTAAAGCAAACATAGATCGTGAGATTTGAGGTTGGGGAGAGAGAGGATATGGTGGTGAGAGAGAGAGCGCTGAGGTTGGCCTTTTTGTGCTCCCATGTTAGCCACCGCCGCTGGCGAGGACAAGGCCGCAAAGCCGCGGCGACAGCAGCCAAGCCAACGAGAGGGGGGGCCAAGTCTCCATAGTCGGTCGGGGCCCTCCAATCGCCCCCGCGAGGAGACGACGCGAGGTGAGAGACTAGTGTAGTTGAAGGCAAGCTTCTATGAGCTAGAAATGCATCACCTCAATCCAGGATGGTTAAGGTGGTCCGCCAATGTCCATTGAGGCGAGGACGGACGGGGAGTTATCCTGGTCACCTAGAGTAGGATGGTAATTAAGGTGTAATTCATAGAGGAGTGATGTGGTGATGGATGGGATGGATGGATAGGAGTTGCAGAAGATTATACCTTTGATGATGAGTTGTGCTAAGGATAAGCCCACAACCAAATAATGGGTTGTTGCCCTTGTATTTCCACTTACCTTATAACTATGCAATCACGGGAGGACCTCAGAGTGGGCTGGCCAAGCTGGTGGTGATGAAGATGTTGTCCAACAGAACTTTGGAGGAGTCAATGGCCCAATGAGGAAGGCTGGGCCCAAGCTGAAGTACGTCAGCCCACAATAGGTGAAAAAGTAAAACACCGGCCCAAGACGTTGGTGATAGGAGAGATAAGAAGACACGCTGGAGAGGAAGGAAGACACGACGGAGAATACAATGGCCGGCTGGGGGCTGGAGATCAGCGAGCTCGGCTCGTTGGTAACTTGTAAGTGAATTCTGAGAGAATTCCTGTACTATACTCTCCCTAATCTAAAATAGATTCGTAACAGTTTGCTTGTGTGTTCATATGCTGCACCTAAAGATGAAAATGGAACGGAAATATCCCGAATCGAACCGCATCGTTTTCTATATTTAATCTGATCGAATCCGCATTTTTTTTGTTCGACTTTACTGTTTTCGCTTTCGCATTTGAGATGTTTCGTATTTCAAACGTAAAAGTAGAAAATGGTTTACACATTTTTCGATCGTTTTCTACTTTTCTACTTTTAATTTGAAATATTCCGAATTCAAAATTCGGTTTAAACCGAATTTGGCCAACTGCACAGGTCATACAGCCCAATTACAGGCTGCTCACCACGCAGCTGCGTTCTTTCTACTGGTGGCTAGCTGCCCTCTCTTATAGACGGTGCTCAGCCTCATCTCTCTTATTATGTATTTGGTCGTGCACTTGTTTAATGCTATGTACTTGTACTAGATCATGCACTCGTTAGTTGTGAACTTGTTATGTATTTGGTCGTGCACTTGTTTAATGCTATGCACTGTGGGTCGGTATTTCGTATTGAATTTTCGCATACCGACCGTGTTTGATATAATTCCGCTCGAATTGGTTCGTTTCCGAAATTCTAGATATTCCGTAAGTTCGTGTTCGTTTTCGTGTCCGGCTTGTCCGCTTTCGCTTTCGCTTTCATATTTCAAATATAAAAGTAGAAAACGGTTGAGGAGTTTTTCGACCGAGTTCGACCGTTTTCATCCTTAGCTGCACCCCACCTACTGCATCATTATTTCTCATCCCAGAATCATGTTTCTTTTTTTTTCGAAAACCGATCATGTTTCTGATTGCCATAACATAACCGATCGGTTTGTTACAATGTTGCAATCCACTGCAGGAACAGGGAACAGCCCCAACTGAAAAAGAAAATATATATGATTTCTCCCAACCACTTCCACGACCAGAATTTCTGTTCAGTCTTTTCTTCTGCAAGTATGCTGATCTGACAGTGATCCCGTGACTGATCTGACAGAAGTTGTTACCATCGTCTTTGGTTGTATTTTTAGTTGCCACGCCGGATGTTAATTAGAAGTGAGTTAATTAAAAGCATCCCTGCAGCTAATTTCGAATCTATTAAGCCTAATTAATCCATCATTAGCGCATATTTACTGTGCAGAAGGCTCTAGATTCGTCTCCAAATTATTTCTTCATCTATGTAATTTAGTTTTGTAATTAGAATTTATTTAATACTCTAATTCTTTTTAGGTGGCATTGCCAGCCAAGAGTGCCCAAAAAGCATCCCTGCAGCTTCAGCGGCACTCCTGCAGAACTCTACTCCAGGCTTATTTCTGAGTTCTCTTGGCCTTCTTTTAGGTGGCAAGTCATCCTCCTTGCTAGTTGCTGTTGGGAAACCGGTTGCTCGTTGCTTGGAAGCTGGTGGACACAGGCCAACGTGCTATTGAAGTGGAAGCAAAGACACCCTCCTCTCCTGCCTCCATATATTCCTCCAGGCAGCTTGTGCTGTCTGCAGTCCGGTTCACAACTGATCCTTTGGAGGAAAGGCCATAATCCTTGTCGTTGGCTGCCTGCTCCGGCATGGCTGCGGCCTTGGACCGTGCTGAGGTCGACACAGCCCGCCCGTTCCGGTCTGTCAAGGAGGCGGTGGCTGTGTTCGGCGACCGCATACTTGTCGGCAACAGCCATTCCAGGCACAGCAGTAGCAGTGCGGCCGCCATTGCCACCCCAAGCGCCAGTGCCAATGCCACTAGCGTTACTGCCATCCCGAGTGCCAAGCAAGAAGCAAGCAGCAGCAGCAGCACCATGACCTTCTCACCCACCCCAATGGCCGAGAGCGAGGCGGAGATAATGGCCGCCACCGTGCCGATGTACTCTGCGCCATCCTCCCCGACATCGCTCGCGTCATCACCTTCGCCGGTCAAGCCGTGCAGGGGGCGCGACGGCGGCGACGACCACCGGGGCAAGGACAACGAGGCGGGCGGTGGTCTCGTGATCGTGCGCTCCATCCAGAAGCTGGAGGCCAACGTGGCGGAGACGCGGCAGGAGGTGGCGCAGCTCAGGAAGCGCGGGAACGAGATGGAGATGGCGCTGGCGAGCCTCAGCGCGCAGCTCCACCGGGGCCTCTCGAAGCTCGCCGAGATGGAGGCCGACAAGGCGGTGTCGGCTGGGGTGGCGGGGCGGCGCAGCATCGGGGGCGACACCGACGTGGAGTCGCTCACGCTCCGGAGCGAGCGGTGGGGCGACAGGCTCGCCGCAAGCGAGTACCTGCCGTCATTCTCACACGCGCTGAGCCTTGGCGAGATGGACGACGTCGAGCTTATGGGCAGCGGCCGGAGGAGGAAGGCGCAGATGGTCAAGCCCATCGTGCCGCTTATCGGTGACATCCTCTTCTCCAGGAGGAAGAGCACCAAGCAGAAGGTTGACGATGGCTTGTACAGTGGTGATCTCTACGGCGTCCGAGGCTAGGCTGATGGCCAGTGCCTTTGTGTGTGCAGTGTGCTCATCTGTGTGGCATGGCAGCTTGCGTGGTGTGCACTTTTTTATTATTTTGATGGCTGTTTCCTCTCTTTTTCTGATGTTCTTGTTTGCGTGGCTTGTGCAGGGGAGTTGCGTTTGTGTAAATGTACAAACATGTTGATGCCTTGATGTATCTTCAGGTCATGAGTGGAACAGAGTGCGTGTGATGGCAGCAAAGTGCACTGAATTTGACACCCTGCTAGTTTTCAGATGTTCTGCTTGATGGAGAAACTGTAAGCTCTGCAATGGAACGGACAAAGCTAATTCTGTCCATTTTTCGGCATGCCATCACCATTAGTGGCCCATTATAGGGTGTCCAAAACTAACTCTGTCCAGAATTCGCTCTGCACCTCTCAGTCCGTTCTTCGCAATCCTGCCACCCTGCGACGCAAATCTCCATTGCTAACTTCTCATCTTCCAAGATCCTCAAAAGGCGAACAACAAAACAGATCAGAACTTTTTGGCAAGTTTTCTTTGTTTCAATCCATTCCATCCACGAACAAGAGCAGAAGTGGGCGACCGGTCGGTGCCAGTTGATGTCATTGTCACGCACATCGCCCCGCTCTTCTTTTCTTCTGTTAATGCAGCAGTATGATGATGTAGATCTCGAGAAGATGAAGAAGTAGCTTAAAAATGCATAACTGAAACAGAAACTGGAGGAAGCACACACTACTACAAAAATAATTTTACGAGGCACTATCCAAACATTTACAGGACCTTTAGAAAATCCAACCACCTCGGTTAATGTTTGGCGATTAACAGAGGCGGTCATTTCTTTTACCAAGGCACAAAAAATAACCGTCTCGCAAAAATTCATTTATGGAGACGGACATTTTATTTATGGAGGCGGTTGAAAAATGCCCACCTCCAAAAACAGATTTACGACGGTCATCATAAGACAACGGCCTCCAAAAATAATTTGTTTTTGGAGGCCATAAATCTATTTTCGGATGTAGGCACACTATAAGGCTTTGATTGAGACCACCGCTCAACTCAAGGAAGGGAATAAATACATCAATTCTGTCCCTCTGATTGATAAAGAACTTAGAAAATGTCATGATGTATTCTTGTGCCCAGATAAGTTTGACTACAAAAAAAACTTTCATAATTTCTCGTTGATCCTCAATCAAAGCTCACCATGGATGTAAAAGTGCATGGAAGGAAAGTTATACAGGCATTGAAGCAGCTTGAGAAAGACCTGCACATGCCCATATATCCCTCCAAGTGCTAAGTATATTATTCTAGGAATTATTGAGGATATCTAATGGCTTCACATACATGGGTTGTCCCTCAACGGTTAGTTCACACTTAACTTCTACTGGATTCATCTTAATTAAGAAGGTTAAGTGTTGGAGTGCATCATATGTTGGGGACTCCTATTATCACGTTCAACGTCAAATTACATAGCCTAGAGGTTCACAAAATGATATTTGGGGGCCATTTGTAGTCTTTGGTGGCATTTTTATAAATACAAAACCCCACTAGGGTCCATTAGTAGCCCCTAGTGGCATTTTTTAAATACCAACCTTTCATGGAAAATAAAGAGAACATCATCTCCCACCTCCCCTATAAAAGGAGGAGAGGGGAAGGGGGAGAGGAGGTTGGCTGGTCACTAGCTTCTGCTCTTTTCGTCTCCTTCGCTCTCTCCTGTTGGATGGTGACATCAACTTTAAGTTTGACCCGGCTCTAAAATTAGTTGTATGTAAGAGAGAGAGAAATGAAATGATCAATGATTTCCGTTGGATTTATCGGATTATTCTGAAGATGTTGTCTTTTCATGATAGTGGCTTGCCTGTACCAGATGATTTGCAGAGCCTTCTTGACCTATTGAATTCTGATGACCCTTTTAAGCACCATCAAATTATACATTACAATATGTCCCTGCTGAGCGAGATTAGGGAAAAAAGTCATTTCATCACCCTCTATGATAGATTACAACAGCAAATCCGTGAAAATAAAAAAAAGTTCTAAGAAAGAAAAGAAATCATAGAAAGTGTTGCAATTATTTCCACTCACTTTAGCTATCCTAGAGGTGGCGAAGAACCTTGTTCAAATATGGCAAAGAATGACTCATATGTTGTAGCAGTTTATGACCTTCATAGTGCAAACAAGAATATGGTCTTAGAAGAGCCATTGGATCTATTGATAATGTGGCGCAATGCACTGTCCCATATAATAATTTCTGTTAAAGGTGGTGTACCACTCTTTAAAAATGAAAACCTGGTTAACATGCTTGAATCAGCAATACCTGGTGTATTTAATGAACTACAATGAGCAATGAGTGAAATAGGGGATGTAACTAGAAGGTAATTTTATGAAACTTTTCTGCTGTTTGTAGTATATAATACCTTCACTCTTTATATGTTGATTATCAAACACTCTATTCACCATGCACTTTTTAGTTCTCACTTATACTGTATATATAATTAGTTCATTTAGGATGTGACTAACACCATTCTGCTATTTCATACTTGCTATGAAACTTGTTAAGTTTAGAATCTCTGTCTTCTTTGTTTCAAATATTTGCTATTGTTTCTTGGCACTAAAGGAAGTTAGTATAAACTGTTTGTTTTTTGTTAGATATAATTTTCTCAACTGTACCATATAGGTTTCATTGGATTCAGAAAGTTTGAAATGATATTTAATTATTGAGCATTTGAGAATGTTCTATTAGTGACCTTGGTCAATCATATTCTTAAGTTTCAATTCATTTGGAAATGTTTGGAACATGTTGTAGATTTCCATTCTTAACACTGATCCATGTGTATTACAGGGGAGAAGAGGCCTTTTGTGATGACAGACAAGGTTGGAATCTCCATTGATGAAGCAGTTACTATTGATTTTTGAAATTGTTTATGGGTGTACTAGATTGAAGGCTCAACTAGAGATCATGGCTGTTTGTTAACACTGAGCCATGTGTAATGCATGGAAAAAGAGGCCTTTTGCGAAGACTAACATGGTTGGCGTCTTTGTTCAGGAAGCAGGTCCTGTTGAAGTTAACTGTTTAGGATGGATTGGATGAAACTATGTACTCTAGAATGATAATCATTGATGGATTGATGAAACTATGTAGTCTAGTACGTTAACAATCATTGATGAACGTAAAAGTGTTATGGAACTTAGAGCATGTATATCCTATTATGTTTATCTACAATGGTGGTGAACCTTTTACATTTTGATGTGTCAGCCCAATCTTTCTTGGGTTTATTTCTTTTTCTTTATGAATGCCCGTTGGTATGTCAGTAGCATATATCAAGCAGGAGTGGGCTTTTACCTTATTAGTTTGTCAGCATATAAGCACCCTTACCCGTGTCCGACGATGAGGTTGGATGTACGATTCGTGTATGCCGTATGAATGGGGGATTTCTCACTCTTCTTGCACCTTGTTCCTTTGCCTTGGGCCATTCTCCTCTCTTTGGGGCAGACATAGTCACAAACACTTCATAACAGAACTTGTGGACTAAGATTGCAGTTTTAAAGTTTAGGGACCAAAGGTAAGGGTCTATTTAGAACCACTAGGGATAATAGTTAGCTACTAATTTTTTGTATCTCTAGTGGTTCCAAACATCTCAGCTAATAGTTCAACTTATTGTTAGCCAAAACTTCCTAAATAACTAGGGAAGGGCTAGCACCTGGACATCCGGACGGACGGCGCGTCCGGACATAGCTCCGGCGCATTATATCGCACCGCATCCCACCACACAAGTCTGCATCCCATCTAGTGCCCATGTACCCTCATCTAAACATCACACCATGCCCCCGTGCCCATCCCATGCCCCAGCAGCCCGTCCCACACCGACGCCCATTCCTAGGCACCATGTGGGTCTCGTCACCTGCCCTGTCTGCAGATGTGCTCCGTGGAGGCGTCTACTGGCCAAAGGTGCCCACATGGTGACTCATGACGGTGCCCCCAGCACAAGCAGGCAGCCATCCACCAACCACCGATGTCATTGAAACATGTGTTCTCCCAGATCTACTTTTGAAACATAAAGATGAAACACTTGCAACATACGTTTAAAATAGATGAAACAGTTAAAATATACGCTTGAAACATGCGTGTATAGCCATAGTAACATATGCAACATCGAGATCTACTTTTGCAACATCCAGATGAAACACTTGCAACATGAGTCTGAAACATCTGAAACACTTGAAACATTCATATAGAGCCATAGCAAACATATGCAACATCAAGATAAAACACTTGAAACATACATTTGAAACAACTGAAATACTTGAAACATAGGATTGCAACATGCATATATTGTCATTGCAACATATGCAACATCGCAAATCTTCTTTTGCAACATCTAGACGAAACACTTGAAACACAAAGTCTCAAACACTTGAAGCACACAACGTCGCCGGCGGCAACGGCCTACCTATGTGGAACTACGGTAGCCAGCAAGTTCGGGTCATGGGGACATCGAGAGTGTAAGAAAAATGGACCCTAGGCCCATTTACTTTGGATTTTGGTGTTTGATGATCAACACAACCAAATTGGACTATTGAATTTGCAAGTAATTGTTTTATAGTTCAATAGGGTGCAAGACGTAACTTGGACGAAGGCGACATGATGATCCCACGATCAACACCTTAAGCAGGACCCTAGAAGCACAAGAGAAGACCCAAGATATCAAGCAAAGTCCAAGAACGAAGATGGGAAGCAAGCCGAATGCAACATCGCGAAGAAACGAGCTCGACAGAGGTGACCGAACGCGGCCCTATGAGGACCGGACATGTCCGATCAGTTGCTCGGCAACAATAGGCGCCAGCAGCAGCGACCGGACGCTGAGCGGGGCAGTGACCGGATGCACGGACTTCACTGTTCATCGTCACAACAATAACTCAGTGAGGACTGGATGCAACGGCACTGGATGACCGGACGCACAAAGTGCAGCGTCTGATCATGTCCAGAGAGGTGGCAGAGCGGTGCAAATGCGACCGGA